AAGATGTTGCCTCTTTGTATTTTTTGCAGTACTTTTTCAGAGCATACTTTTCAGGGCATATGCATATATATGATCGATAAACTTTAGCTAATGAGGAGAAATTTGTCATCTCTTTCCAAATTTGTGTCTTTTGTGATATCTTGTAATGGCCAACGGTCTTTTGGCATTCTGAGCCATTGAGGTCCCTGCCACCAGAGTTCATTGGTCCTTACCTCTGCTGGTGGATTTAAAAGTATTTGGCGATACATCTTTGTTATATCTGCATAGAAGGCATATTTGAAGAATCTCCATTTTAAAATTTGCAATGTGAAATCCTGTTGTAGAATGGGTCCAGGAAATAATATGTCAGTGAGACTTGTTTGGTTGATTAGTTGTTTGGGTTTCCGTTCCCTTGTGCAACAGTATTGTGTCTCATGGTACATGGTAATTTAGACATAGAGTGCTTTATATTACCAACTGACTACAAAGTTTTTAATTTGTTTCTTAAGAAAGTGTCAAATTGGTCCCATTTTAGAATTTGTTTAAATCGCTTAATGATTTCTCGAGTTCTTCTAAAAAGCCTCTAGGTAATTTCGTTAAACAAATATGTATTCAAATTTGATCCCATCCAACATCGACACAATGCGTTGTAGTGTTTGAATAGTGTGACTTGATTCTGTAGAAACTACAGTTAGATTAATGAGTGTCATATTTTCGTCATTAATTTGCATTCTTTTATTCTCGTTACGATCCGTCCGATTTTTTAATGCTAATGTAAATCCATATTTAGTTAGTGGTATATGCGAAATAGTTTCTTTAGCTTCTCCTGCTGTCTCTTTTTTCGACATTGCTTAATTTTGAGTTGTTCTTTTTCATTTTTTCCTCTGTCTTTTCATCCAAAAGACTTTGAATTTGTCCACTTATTGAACTCAGCGCCTTTTTGTATGTGCCCATGGTGTCCATATATTCCTCAGTTTCTTTTTATCGATAATTTTTCCTTATTCTTCTGGAACATAATCCCGGCAGTCAATGTTTGCTCTTTTGACCTGGTCCCTCGCAGAGTCCAACTACATCCAGGTTAGGTTATTGACAAAATTTAAATATAATCCAGAAGATCGTTGAGGCAATTTGTGAATTTACCGACTAAAGTTTTATCCATTTTGAAAGCAGAGCTTTAACTTTTACGGAATTTTGGCCCGGCCGAACTTAATGTTTTTTACTTGTTTCCACACACATTTTTATACCCTCCACCATAGTATAGAGGGTATATTAAGTTTGTCATTCCTCGAAATAAACATTTTGGACCCCGAACAATGGACCCTGTGGAACAATGTGACAAAATCATTAAAATGCCGAATATCGGTTGGAGCCGTTATATGTTGAGAAAGTTTTTCTTGTTTTAAATTAAGTACTTTATTCACTTTTTAAAAGCCTAAAACATAAAACCAAAATTCATTTTTGTTTAGCATAAAATTCTATGTCGATTTAGCTAAAAATACCAATTTTTATACAAATCTGTGGAACAATGTGACAAAATCATTAAAATGCCGAATATCGGTTGGAGCCGTTATATGTTGGCTATATACACTGGTGGCCAAAACAAAAGCAACTGAAATTACTAGGGGAATGAATGCCCTGTAACTTTTTCAAAAATTAAGAAAATGAGAAAGTTTTTCTTGTTTTAAATTAAGTACTTTATTCACTTTTTAAAAGCCTAAAACATAAAACCAAAATTCATTTTTATATAAAAAATAATGTTTGGTAAAGTCAATTAACTCGATTTTAGCTTGGACAAAACAAAAGCAACTCTGTTGTGCATTCATATAACCGCTGCAATTTCAGTTGTTTTTACTGTGATATTTATCGCTTTTTGCTTCCTTCGACAATTTCGCTTGTCATAAATCCTTTTTGAGAAGTTTTTTACAACAGTATGTGTTTTTCTTTTCGTTTTTTAAGTACTGCCCAAAAAAAATTTAAAAATGGCTAGAAGCAAATACAGTACCTGAATAAAACAGCAAGTTATCATTGACTAACAAAACAACATATCACAGAAAATGATTTCCGAGAAATATTTCATAAATATTTATGTGATTTCATAATTATTTCTGTGTACTAAGTCGGTTTTTTGAAACTGGATCAGTAGTAACAGTCTATAACGGATGAAGGCCGTGAAAAACTTCAGCCCGTACTGATCCACAAATTGTGAGAGAAATAAAAAACAACTATTGAAGAGCTCAACTGGATTGGTGAGAGAGCAATCATTGGATATAAGCTCGAGATCAGCGCGTAGACGAGTAGTGGCAGCTGGTCTGCATGTCCGTAAAACATCAAAAAACCATTTATATCTGAAAAAAAAGGCTTTCGGAAACGATAATATTAAGTGGAATAATGCTCAATTGAAAAAACATTATTTCTGGGATGAGTCTACGTTTAATATTAAAGGCTCAGACGTGAAAAATTTTGCAGTGAGAAGGCCAAAAACTGAAGGACTCAAGCCGCAGTGTTGCAAAGGTGCAGTGAAGCATGAGGGAGGGTTAAAAATGGCGTGGCGCTGTTTTTCTTTCTATGGACTTGGGCCTATCCATTAAATAAATAAAGTTGTGGATCGGTTTGTTTACAAAGATGTGTTGGACATCACCTTGTTCCCTTACGCTGAGTAAAATATTCGGCTGATTTGGGTGTTTCAGCATGACAATGATCCCAAACTTATATCAAAACTTGTCAAATGTTGGTTGCGGGAGTCAAAAATTCATGTTTTTTTATGGCCGGCACAATCACCTGACCTAAACTCCTTAGAAAACCTTTGGAGTATCGTAGATAGGAAGATCAAGAGAAAATCGGAAAGAAATAAGCACAACATTTTCTAAAGAATTCGGGGTGCCTGGGAAAGCACACCCAAGGATCAAATTGAGCGTGTTATAGATTCAAAGCCTCGTAGGTGTACAGCTGCTATCAAAAATAATGGTTACGCTATCGACTGCTAGCCAAAATTTAATTATTTTAAAATAAAAAATCAAAAGTTGCTTTAGTTTTGACCAAGCAAAAATTGGGTCATTTTAGTTTTCCACATATTATTTTTCGTTCAAAATTATTTTTGTATTTTTATTTTTAGTTTCTTAAAAGTGAATTAATCCCCTCATTTAAAACTGAAAAAATAATTACGATTTGTTTATTTTTCTAAAAGTTACAGGACATTTATTGTCTTTGCGATTTAAGTTGCTTTAGTTTTGGCCACCAGTGTACATGCAATGTTCCGCCTGTGAAACTAGAACCAAATATGACCTACATATACCAATTTTTAGACAAATCCGAGGAAAAAATGTGGCGAACATCATGAAAATACCGAATATCTGGATGTGCTGTTATATGGCGGCTATATCAAAATGTGGACCGATATATCAATTTTAATACCAACCATCTTAGACACAATACAAATTTTCTGCCAAATTTTGAAGGTCTACGTCAAATAATATAGGCTGTATCGTGATTTCAACAGACGGACGGACATCGTTAAATCGACTTAGAATTTTATACTGTTTATCAACATATATTTATGGCCTTTATGGGGTCTACGATGAATATTTAGGGATGTTACAAACGGAAAGACAAAGTTAATATAACCTCCTATCCAAGGTGGTGGGTAAAAAAATAGTGGGATAATGCCCTACAATTATGCAACAACAAAGTGCGCAGCAATACTTGAAAACGGATTAAGGGCCTTAAATTACTTTAGATCGATATCTATATATCTATATATCGGAGCTATCTCCCAATGCGAATGTCTTTTTGCCAGTAGTCGGCATATGGTATTTCAGTAAAAAAATATTATTCTGTACATTTTTGAATTTGAAATTAATTTCGTTTTTAAATAGTGTTTTATTTAATTAAATAAAATAGTGTTTTATTTAATTTATTTAATTGTCATTCTAAACCAAATATAGGTAGAAAATCAAGAATAGTATGGCTGCCTTCAGTAACGTATGGATTTTCAATTAAAATAAAAATGAGATTAAATAAAAAAGAAAAAATACCTTTCTTATATTTGAAATTTTCGAATTGATCTTTTTCCTTTAGATAGCCAACATTTTTTTCCAAAATGTCACCGCTATCTAAAACGTCAAACAGCTGATTTAAAAAAACCTACTTAATTTAGAAAAGTTGGTTAAAAAGCAAATATAAAAGCAACTGCGGACTCAAACTATTTTTTATTTGAGTAGTTTCTGGATTATTTTTTAATACTTTTCTCAAGTTTTGGTGAAATTGGCCAAAAATGATATTTCTAGTAATCGGCACCCCCTGCCGACTGCTGGCAAATCTCTTTTTTTTTGTTCCTAATGTCGGCATTGAATAATATAACAGAAAAATGCTTGATTTGTATGTTTTTAAGTTATAAAATGATCTTTAGACTGTTATTTACTATTGTAAAATATTTCTGATTCCAAAAATATTAAATTTAATTTACTTAAATCGGTTATTAAATTGACGCCACCACTATTTTTTTTTTTTCTTTACAAACAAGCACTCTCGCACGCGTTGGAAGATACTCACTGACGACAACCGTTATTCTCTTGTAATAAATGATTGGAGCTAATTGCTTTTTTACAGAAAGAGAGCAGAGAACACTGTTGACGTTTTTTTTGCATTTTTTTTTTATTATTTGGTCAATTCTATACTTAGTTATTTAAGTTTAAATTTCAAAACTGCCGACTACTGGGACATGTCGAACTTAGGCGCACTTACCCTATTACATTTTGGCACCTTTTTTCTAACGGCAGAAACATTATATAGGCAAAAACATTGAGATGTGGTAATTTTGAAGAAAATCGGACACTAGTATCATAATTAGAAAACCATATTTCAGTAAAAATGACCTTTTGAGGGATACTATGGAATATTCGCCAGATATTGTGGTTACAAAAACATTCAAATGTGCAATTAGAAAAAAATAAAATTTCTTTGCAAAAGTATAAAATATATCAGAATAGTCAGCATTTTAAATATAATAAAAAGTTTATACTTACAATATTCCTACTCGCATCTGCTTTCAATGGGTTTTCTGCTGCTAACATAGCAGATGAAAACATAATGCAGCATAATATGAAATTGCCAAAATTACTGTGATTACACAAACGATGACAAAATATACGAAATCTGTAAATTAAGAGATATTATTAATGAGTCTAAATATCCTTATTTTAAAAGAAAGTGCGATAATACCAAATTCTACTTATTTTAATGTTTTTTACCAAATCGAAAATCTTGTTTTTCGAAAATAAAATGTTGCAGTATTTTTCTTAGGTGCTCACAACAATCAGATATGCCCTTGGGTTATATGAAAGTAGTCAGTTTTTAGCATAGAAAAATGCATATATATCGGAAGATATTGAATATCGAATGCTTCCGAACTGATTTAACCAATCCATAAAAAATAGGTAAAAACACTTTTTAAGTTCAAAAGTTTTATGTTAAACATACATTGCAATGTTTAAGATAAATGTACTAAAATATAATAAAATAGATACAGTCATGAGAATTATAAACATATGCATAGACTAGACTAAAATAAAACCGTCGCGACGGGCACGTAATTTATCTACAAACCATCGACTTAATGAGCGATAGAATGATCGTTTTATTTTTGTACATTTATCTTAAACTCATCACTCGTGTCTTGAAGAAGTAATCCCATTAAAATAGTTAAAAGTTGGGTTGTTAGCTCACCGACTCTCAAAGCTTCAAAATATCAATAAAAGTCTACTCACATTGCTGAGGCATATTTTCAGTTAATTCACACAGCGCTAATAAACCCCAGAGATGTGTAGCTGGTTGGAAATGTTCTGGCTATGAAAATAAAATTCTAAATCGATTTAACGATGTCCGTCTGTCACTCTGTTGAAATCACGATACAGCCCACATTATTTGACGTAGAGCGCCAAAATTTAGTAGAGCCATTTGTATTGTGTCTAGGATGGTTGGTATTGAAAATGAGATATATCGGTCCACGTTTTAGTATAGTCCCCATATAACGGTACCTCCCAATATTCGGTGTTTTGATGATTTATGCCACATTTTTCACTGATTTGTCTGAAAATTGGTATTTGTAGGTGATAACGGGTCCCGTTTCGTGTGGCAAGACATTGCATGTATAGGTCCATGCTTTGGTATAGTCCCCATATAAAAATACCTCCCGACATTCGGTATTTTGATTATTTTTGCCACATTTTTTCACGGATTTGTTGATCACAATTGGCTCCAGCTCCGGTGGCGAAACATTGCATGTATGGGTCCACGATTTGATATAACCCCCATATAACGGTACCTCCCGATATTCGGTATTTTGATTATTTTTGCCACATTTTTCACTGATTTGTCTAAAAATTGGTATTTGTAGTTCATAATGGGCCCTAGTTCGTGTGGCAAAACATTGTATGTACCTCCCGATATTCGGTATTTTGATGGCTTCTGCGCATTTTTTCACTGATTTGTCTAAAAATTAGTAATTGTGGGTCATAATGGACCCTAGTTCGTGAGGCGAGACATTGCATGCATAGGTCAACGTTTTGGCATAGTCCCCATATAACGGTACCTCCCGATATTCGGTATTTTTATGATTTTTGGCACATTTTCCCATGAATTTTTCTAAAAGTTGGTATATGTGGGTCATAATGGGCTCTAATATTTCCTTTAACCTAAGGTGGAGGGTATTATAAGTTTGGCCCGGCCGAACTTTATGTTTTTTTACTTGTTTTGTTCCCACATGTACTGTACATTTAAACGGTCGACCTCCCAGAGATCCAATAAAGGGTCAAGGCTATGTACAACAATATGTCCCTGAATCTTGAGGGGAAAACGCTAACGACATAGCATTTTTATCCACCCTAATACCACACAGTCCTCAATACGATACAAAATTTTGTCTCGGGTGGAGGATTCAGGCTGGATTAATCAGGTGCCTAAATTACAGATGAAATTTCTAAATTTAAATATGATTATTACACGCCATTTAGTGGCTGCGCCCATCTTAAATATCGAGTTTGTATATTGCACTGTATTGTTCAAGTCAAACCTTTTATTTGATACCCATATTGGTGTGATTGATAAAAATTGTTATCAGCCATTTGGAAGCGCCGGCCATCTTAGACTTCAATTTTGCACTACTTGTTGAGATCTTTCAGCTTATCAGCCATTTGGTAGCGGAGGCCAACTTAGATTTTAATTTTGCACTACTTCTTGAGACCTTTCAGCTGATACCCATGTTTTAATGGCATTTAAATCCCATTTTCAATGGTATTGTTTTCAATTCGGTACATAGATTTTATAACGGGTTCTACCTCTTGTTGCAAAACGTTGTTTATATAGATCAACGTTTTCTGTAGTCTACCTTCTATGGCGGAACAATGTCTATATAGGTCCAAGTTTTCTTATACGCCCATATATCTGTAGGTCGTCCCGAAATTACCTGCGTATGGTTTGTTATGTGCTGTACCTCCAGTGACAGATCATTGCTGCATTTTGCTATAGCTCCCCATGTTTGTGCACTACATATTTTTCTGTACTATACATGGTGTTCTGGTGACTTCAGCCACACTTTTTCTGGGAAATCGTTTCCAATTCATTATGTATAGTTTTCAATGAACTGATCTCATTTAATTTGGTATTTGACAATTAGAAAATCCCTTTGGGAGCAAACCGGAACCATCGACGCTACGGCATTTTCAGAACGTTTTGCCAACAGATTTCACCAACAACATTTGTTTAAAAATTAGTATTTGTAGCTAATAATGGGTTCTAGCTCCGGTGGCGAAATAAATTATTTATAGGTCCACGTTTTGGTATAGCCCCCACATAGAGGTATCTCCGGATATTCAGTATTTGGATGATTTTTTATACATTTTTCCAAAAATTGGTATTTGTAGTTCATAATGGGTTCTATCTCCAGGCAGAACATTGAAAATTTAGGTCCACGTTTTCCTATTGTGCACATATAACAATACCCATCGATATTCGGAACAATGATAAACCTAGTCACATTTACACACGAAATTGGTTTTTTGTACCCTACAACACATAGTGGTAAGGGTATTATGTCTTTGTGCATTTGTTTGTAACATGGAGAAGGAAGCGAGATAGACCCATAATTACTTTTGAGGATCTCTATAGAATCACTTTCTGAGTTGATTTATGCATGTCAGTCCGTCTGTACCCCGTCCGTCAGTCCACGTATTCTTGTGAACAAAATGCAGGTCGCATTTATGATCCGATTGATATGACATTTTCCAAACAACATTTGTTTGTCCCAAGGACGAACCCCATTGAAATTCGTGACAATCGGTTCACAGTTAGATATAGCTCATTTGGATATACCTCCCATATGTATCTTCATCCGATTTCGCGTTAATTGTGCTCCAAATGGCCAATATCAGCCCAAATGGCATGAATTTTGGCAACTCCGACCGAATTCAGCCTAGAAGAAAGTACACCAATTTTAGTAAAAATCGGTTCAGATATAGCTATAGCTCCCATATGTATGTTTCAACCGATTTGGTCTTTAAGTCCCTCACATTCGTAATATGCACTCCAGAGGAATGATATTTGGTACCAGATATCGGTTAAAGCCCCAAAAATAGTAGATTTTATTAAAATCATTTCAGATATAGCTTTAGCTCCCATATATATATTCATCCGATTTCGGGTTAAATGTGCACCAAATAATCTAATATCAGCTCAAATGGCAGGACTTTTCGCACCTCCAAAAGTCTAGAAGCAAGTACACCAAATTTAGTGAAAATCAGTCAGATACAGCTATGGCTCCCATATATACATTTCATCCGATTTGGTCTTCAAGTGCCTCAAATTTCAAAAATGCATGATACAAGAATTATATTTGGTATCAGATACAGCCAAGAAATATCTGTTTTCAATTTTATAAATATCTGTTCAGATTTGGATATAGCTCCTATATATCTTCATCCGATTTCGTTTTAATTGTGCAACAAATGTCCAATACCAGCCTAAATGGGTTGACACATCTGACCGAATTCAGCCTAGAAGCAAATACATCAAATTTGGTGAAAATCGGTTCAGATATGTCTCATCAGATTTGGTCTTAAGGTCCCTCAAGATATATCTATCGATATGCACAAATCAATCGTTTGATTTGAATATGATTGCGTAGTAGTCCAAATAAGATGTATATCTGTCACTTTTGGTGAAAATCAGATTTATATATTGCTCCTATATGTCATAATTATTGTTCACAACATGCATCATAACAGCCCAAATCGAACAAATTTCAGCACACGCGATTTAGTTCAGCCCACAGAAAAATGCGTTAAAATTAATGAATACCCATCCAAATATAGCTATATCTGTCATATATATGTTCATCCGATATTAAGTTTTTAGTGAACTAAATGCGAATATGCACAAATTTTGGCAATACTAAAAATTGAATGAAATTGGTTCACAAATATATTTATTTGATTTTATATTTATGTGACACCAAAATGCATATATGAAATACGACCGCAAACTGCCAGAAACTTAGTTCCGATCTGATTCTAATAAGATTGAGAAATCAGCTATTGTAAGAATACCGAAGGCATATTGTGCATGTTTGTGCACACCGTACATACATGTTTGAGATTCACATTTAGACAATATTAAACGCCTTCAAATATTTTGACCTATATTAAATTGTTTACAATTTATTAGTACTTAAATATCATAGGTAGTAGCAAAATCTACCTGCAAATAGATAATTTTACAACTTGTTTACTCATCATTTATTACCTACCTGCAATAAAGTAATAAAATATTGTTATTTTGCAATGCTCACGTGCCAAAGGTTATTATTTGAGTATGAGTATGAAGTAGGTAAAAGTCAGACATTACAAAATGTATGTAACAATTTTACCTGTATGATTTGATACTTATACACCTAATTTGTAAACAACATGTTTAGTACTAGTGAAAACTTCCAATAGTATACACATTTAAATTAAGAATTCATATACTTATTAAAATTTAAAATGCCGAGAACGCGTAGAGTGCCGCCACACGCAGACGTATTTGCCGTGTTTTAATTCAGGAAGAACGAGAAGTACTTAGATCTAGCCAACATCATGTTATTCAAAGATCATATGGTACAG